ACCTTTGGCTCAAGCCGGCTGAGATTGCGGCTTTTCTCCGTCTCCCAACTGCACCCAGTTTGGACTCCGGCGGGGGACCCTGATCCAACAAGTGCTACCAACAAACCAGGCCCCCGTTGGCGTCATTAAGGCTTGCGGGACAGTCTATTATAATGAAAATACCCCACTTGCATTGACAAAGCACGACAAGCGGCAAAGTACTATTGGACCTTAGTTTGTTTAAGTGATTATGACCCGTCGGTCATACCTTATCTGTAGGCTATCCGCATCCTGTACGATCGCAGGTATGTGTGTTTCTAGTCCTGGATGATGTTCAAAATGAAGGCAGAAATAATTCCATATCAATTAACCTCCATTCTCTATCGTCCACCACCTTGGTTGGCCAGTTCTGCATATTAGGTGACTGGCTATGCACAACCTTTAACACTAATTCGGGGCTTGTCCGCAAGTGAGTCGGTGAACTAACAGTCCTACTTTAAAACATACAGTCACCTAGGTGACGATCAGCAAATGGCTACTTCTTAAGACAATGAGGGTAAAAAATTATATCCACCTTATATATGCAAACAGTAGAATTGTTAATGTGCAAACGAGTAAATACAAAAAGAAACACATACGTGGGGAGTTTCTCGGCTACAGCCAGACGATCGGCATCGGGATCGTTTGCGACAATCACCTTAGCGCCGCACTTATCAGCGGTGGCCATCGCCAAATGTAATGCTGATTTGCCCTCCTCGGGGTTCGGGAATTTCACAGTGGAGAACTCAGGATCAGGTTTAATCTGAAAGCGTACAATAAGCTTAGTATGGATAAGTGTATGTACCCTAGTCTCCAGCAATAAATTGTCCACCGTAAATTGGTCCTGGGATTTTGATGGTTTATTGTATTGATTACAGAGCGTCCATCGACATCGATGAGGACTATTTCAACGCGATCCATATAGACAACAGCTTGAGAGCGCCCCCGCCAAATTTCCCATCTTGGCTCGCTGTAGTAATAACGTAATGTTGCCAAATGTGCCACAGAGGGCAAAATCCGGTTTCCGAAACTTTGTCGTGAACTGGGGTAGGTGTCACCGACAGGACTTACATCGATTTGAGGACCTTGTGGTGCAGTTCAGCCCTCCGTATGCGCACTGGTTATTTCCGCTCAAGAAGGCTATGCAATCCTCTGTCTACACTGGTGAAAGTCAAGACGTTCAAAACGCTCTAACTTCCATCCTAGCATTGGATCTTTAATATTCGGTCTTGCATTCCCTAGTAGGGAGTGCATCGAATACACTCTTGATTTTGCACAAACCTGGCATCATACTTTGAAATCGATCCAAACAAAATATCACACGATAGACGCAGAAACAATCTATGTGTGCCTAAGTCTAAGTGTGTCAGTCCTTAATCCACTGCAACCTTTGCAGGTGCAAGAATACAACAAGTGAATTTGTACAGGAAAATCGACGCGCAAAAATAAGCTTATAGTAAATTACCGCGCAGGCGGAAGCTGTGGACAGATGTCTGCAGCTGACGAAACCACAATAAAACGGAATCCTCACAACCCCCACCTAGGACTAAAATGAAATTAATAATACCGTCAACTTTTAGCTGTCGGTCAGCGCATATATCTACTTTTCCGCGCTGAAAGTGACAAGGGGCTCACCATCCATTTGAATGGCAGGCGCATGTCACCGGCGGCCAAACAACACTTATTGCTTGCTACGATCGTCTTTTAACCTTAAGTGCGAAATGAGACATTGGGTGCTGGTGTTCGGAACCCTGTGCGATAGAAGTTGGCCTTGGGATAGTAGGCTTAATACATTAGTTAAGATGTGGACAAAATCTTAGTAGAAACGCTACCCAGTTTAGTAAAAATATTGATATATCCTAACTTCTTACCTGTTCGACAACTGGAACCATGTGCTGAAAACCAAATTCTTTGAAGATTCTTTGGGCAGCCGGCGCTCCGACACCATGCATTGCCGTGTACACAAAGGTGACGTCAGATTTCTTGTTTTCAGCTCTGTTCATTTGAGAGAAAGAGAGGTTGACTTCCGTTTTTAGAGCAAGCAGCATTTAGCAAACCAAAAAGCCGGGGTTCAAGGGAAACATAGGCCACTTAATATAATTCAAATGCAGATGCACGGAGGTAAACACTGTTACGTATGCCGCTAAAACCGGCCCAAACTGACTTCTCATGCAGCATTTTCTCGGTATACCTGGGCTTCTTCTATAACAAGCATGATTCGTTGTCTATCGAGTGAAGAACCGTCATACGTTTTGTTAGAGCATAAACGTCTCAGTCAAAACTTTACGTCTTTAAAATAGGGGGACCAATTTTATAGTTAATTAAAACCTTAAAATGTGCCGATCAAATTTTTAAACAGCGAAGGTATTAAAGTGGCGTCGTTACTAAGGGGAAGTTGAATCCTTCATAGTATTATGAGACAACTCCGAAAACGTATTTTCTTTGTTGACGCCCCAGTTTTTCAAAGATCGACACTGGTTCAATTAAACTTTTAATAAACGTAAAAGCAGACAATTGAAACACATCAGAAAAAGTGAACCTTGAATGTTTTGATTTCGATTACAAGAAAGATATTTGAATTTGTCAAGTCCCTTCTAAGTTTTAAAGCCTCCAACCTACAGGAAACAAAGGAAGAAACTACAACCTCATCTTTCTTTGCTTCATTAGTGTTAGTCAAAATTGGCAGGACTTCGTAAGTGTGCAGTGATAGAAAAAATTTACTATGTTATATTCCTTTCATCATCCCCAGAAGAGGAAGAAGAAGAGAAGATTTCTCGGACCAAGGTGTATTTTGGCTAACGTTTCAAAAGCGTGCTAGCTTCCATCGTCAGAGCGCGGTGTCTGTACTCTTGTTCGCGTCAGACGAATGTGTCCAACTACTAGCTGAATTAGTGACTGCTTATGATAAAACCGGAACAAAACTTTGGGCACTAAGGACGACAAAAGTGTACTGAGTGTACTAAAGTTGATTATTTTAAAGATTCAATTTAAAAAAAACAGTCTGCAGACCGACATGTCTATCAAAATTAACAAGTTTGCATGTGAGGCACTAGCCGCTCAGAAGTAAATGCGTTTACCTAGGGAGATTTGTGGTTATTCCCATGAGTAAAATGCCCAACGCCAAAGACTGGAAAGTCGTTTGCACAGCATTGATTATATGCACACTTTAACATTAGTGAAACTGAGGCCCGAGTCACAAAATAGTCTGCATGTTAGATTTACACATCAAACAAAATGCACAGCATATCAGTTTTAGTATATGAACTACTATCCCAGGTGTGAAAATAGGCAATCAAAGTCGAAAACTGCGCAAAATAAACCTCTTCCGGAGATGGCCCTCCTTTCATTGAAATGACAAACACGAATCGTATTTTCACTACCGTTGGCTACTCTTAAAGAAAACCACGCAGGCTAGGTTAGAGAATATTTAAACTTGGAGAGGAAAGGAACGTGATACCGCCTTATCGGTTTAAGGAATAAATGAAATGTGGAGGGAGTTTATAGAAAACGGAATTCTTATAAGAGATGCAAGAATTAATACTCACTCGGTGTAGCAGATAGTCCTCTTCTGTATGTTTATATAACTTTCTTCCAACTCCGGCATCGGATTTAGGCACTGGGCATGCTCTGTGACCTTGTGATAGTCCCAAGATGCCTCTTGTGGCACAAGAGACTCTGAAATTGCTTTAGCAATCCCTTTGTCGTGTGGACTGAGAATCTGTGCACCGTTCTCCCAGTAGACCTAACAAAAGACAAATACGACTGCATGCTGATTTGATGCTATGTGGAAAAGTAAAATATGTAGTGAAAAAATCTGCAAAAAAATCCAAACCTTATAGCCATTGTCATCTTTTGGGTTATGAGATGCTGTGACCATTACGCCACAAGCAGTCTGGAAATGGCGAACACCAAAAGCGAGGTATGGCGTTGGGTTGAAATCACGGAAGAGATACACTTTCCAGCCCGATCGGACAAAGATGTTGGCAGTAATGGAGGCCCAGCTGCAAACAACTAATAAATCAAAGTAAAATCTTACTCTCTGCTGTGGTGCCGACCGTCAAAACCAACTATTATTCCCTTCGGTTTCAAGTGAATATAATTATCGTTCATGTACTTCAACAAGCCCTAAAGCAAAAGTCAATTTGTTCAACACTACAAACCTGAGCTGTCTGGATGATAGTGAGATCATTCATTTGAGAGTTTCCGGCACCCATCCTCGCGCGCAACCCGGCAGTTCCGAACTCCATTCTCTTATTTAGTAATTTTGACAATTGTGCGACATTGTCACCAGCTGCCAGGGCCGAAATCTCATCGTGGGTCACGGAGTTCTTATATTTAAGTGAATCATAATTTATTAACTTACGCGGTCCCATTTTAACCACTCTTCAACTTTGCTTTTTAGCTGAGAATCCATTACCAACCTGAATGCACGCGAGAGAAGCTTTAAAGTGGCGCAACTTCAGAACCTAAACCATCTCATAAGCACTGAAGAATTAAAACAAGATTCAAGGTATTAAAGTTTCTCAGTTTCCCTCTCTAGATCAGCCAATATATAATAAGATTGCCCAATTTATATCACTCTTAATTATCTGGGACATATCGTGAGATTCAAAACGATTGGTATTTTGTTAGGAGGTTTGGCAGATTTGCTTAATTTGAGTTGACCCAATTGTGAAAAAAGAGGTTTGGCAGATTTGCTTAATTTGAGTTGACCCAATTGTGAAAAAAACTCGGGGCGTTCGGTGGGCTTTGAACCCACATAGTAGAGAAAGCCTTAACCGGAATTCAACGCTCTAACCACTTGAGCTACAAACGCCCCACCTCGCGCCCTTAGTTTAATCACACTTGGGTCGACTTTACCCGCCCAACTTTAACGCTCGTACGGAATCCACCAATACGGAGCAGCACGCTGACAGCCCAAGCAGGATTTCCACCAGAATGACTACTAGGCTGACTTTATTATACGGAGATTTGGCAGATTTGCTTAATTTCAGTTGACCCAATTGTTAGGGAGGTAGATTCTGGTAAAGGCCTTCTCTACTATGTGGTTTCAAGTCCCGCTGAACGCCTCGAGTTGTTTCACAATTTGGTAAACTCTGATTTGCATTTTAATCATGCAGTTGTTTGCTACGAAACGTTTATGGTCCGAACGCAATTTTTGTTAAGCATAGTCGTAAATATGGGAAGCTTTGCAGTTTCTATTTCGCCAACCGTAAATTCGTGAAAGTAATGGGTTATTTTACACCGGCAATTTCAGCTGTTACACTGGAGTTGAGCTACCACCACCTGATAACGTCCAGCGAGACAGAAAAGGCCTTCGTGTGCGTGCTCTCCGTTTGTCGGTAAATACCATTAAATTCGTGAAGGTATCGACTTTACACAAAGGAGCTAAAAAGTTCATGTTTTCTAAACCTTTAAATATATGGTGCTTCATTTCATCAAGAATCGGTCTCTTCGAAAACAAACCATGGACAGGTAATGCATAATCAAGTCCTTGTGAGAATAAGTTGATAATTTTATAATTTTTCGACCCGTATGAACTAGACCGTAACTTATGTTCTCTTCCTTTACTGCAGCCACCGAAGATTCCTACTAGGAAACTAAACTTGCCAATTATTGCCAAGTTTAGTCAACATCAGACGATAATTTCGAATTGAATAGAACCCCAGCAATAAAGTTCCTGCGAAATTTGAGTAATTCTAACCTTCTCATAAGAAAGCTGATAGGTCAACTGGAACAAAACCTTTTGAAATTTGAGGCATTTTTTTCGGGTGCAAATTTAAAGCATGTAACTATTGCAGAATTTACTGTTTACAAGAAATTTTGCGAGTGCTCGTCAGGTGCTGTCCATCGCTGTATAACATAAGGAACGTGTGAGAGAATACAACAATTGAATTCGTACAAAAATTGATGCAAAACAACGTAGGCGAATCAGTAATGCTAGCAACTTAGGTTCACAGGGGAGAATCATGGAGCAGTTCCAAACTTATTCAACAGGAGATAACAGATTGTCATCGGTAACTGACATAACTTTTAGCATGCCGCAAGTTTTACGTTTTTCAGATATATTACCGACGCTAAGGACGGAGAGAGCGTTCAACTGGCCTTTATTTTCAAGAGGAGTGTAGGGGAAAAGCTGCTTGGGAAAATAAGATAAAGGACTAACGTAGGCTAATACTACAGAAGCAGTTCAGAATGAGACAACGAAATGTCTAAATGGTTCGCTCGTGATTGCTAAGGCGCATTAAATGAAATTTCATGAAAAAGCATCGGTAGAGGTGGGACCCCGACATCTCAGGAGCAAAAAGGAAATTCTGATGAGGGTTAGTAGCCAATGAAATAGGAGCGGTTTATAATGTGTAAGTCCATATGACTTCCTTCGTTTGAATGACGTATGTTATGAAATGGCATCGTAGTTCCTGGGGGATGCGAGGCACAGAAAATAGTTTCAACAAGTTTTCTTAAATTCATGATGGTCCTTTCCTGGAGTCATGGAGAAAGCTGCTCGGAAAAGGTTAACAGAATCGGTGTGAAGATAAATGTTTGGTCTTCACTTGAATGCAGGTAGACTAGTTGGCGACCATGTTTCAACTGGCAAGCTATTCCACAGAAAGGTATGTCTAGAAGCAAAGAATAGAGAGCATTATATGTTGAAGTTGCAGGTGGAAATATATTCAGTACGAAATTTCTTAGTTTGTAAAGATGACTAACGGGAGTATGGGGGGAAATCTTAAAGAGGTTTATACTATTACTAAGGTGAAAAAGAGACAAAATCTTGCTTTCAGTCTCCCGGCCCACATACATTTTAGGTTCGTTAGCTGGCATCTATTTGAGTAGGATGTATTTGAAAGTGTCGGATATAGGAGTTTTCTTGTGAAATGCCTTTGGATATTTTCAATTCTCGAACGCTTAGATTCGTGCATTAAACTGAAGAATTTGCAGCAGCATTCTAGTGTGGGATACAAAACATACGATTGAGTCATTTCAGGAGAACTGCCGCAAATCTGAGCAGCTTTGGCCACAATTCTATCGCCGCGAGGCGAAAGATCTAATTTATTGGTATAGCTTGAACCTAAGTCCTTGCTGGTGGTACATTTAGTCATTGGACGACCTTGAAAAATAACAGGTTATGGCAGCCTTTCAGGCCCAAAATACATGGAACGACAATTAGAAAGTAAGAACTCCATCAGGTACGTGAAGCTTCAC